ATGAATATAATATAATATAATAACAAAAAATAATATATATATATATATATATATATATTATTTTTTGTTATATATATATATAAAACAATGAAATTTTCACCACAAGATTGGGGGTCATAATAAGTTTGTTTCACTGTTATATATATACGATAATTAACCCTTCGCACCCGAGATCATTTCAACTGTAAATCTAAAATAATTTTGCCGACTTATACACTATTTCCATTTTGTAGGACAAAGTGCATTTTATGCATACGAAATTGAGTCTCGCGATTCATGCAACGGTTACACTTTTAATAATGTTAAAAAATCAGCCACTAAATATCGCCTATCCCCGAATTGTCCGCAGGAATCCTGCTGTGCTTCGTGGCGGGCATGTACATAAACTGGAGATACCTCGCGTTGCTTGGCGCGTGCATTCCGATTCCGTTCATGATCCTGATGTTCATGATCCCGGAGACACCGAGATGGTACATCTCGAAAGGAAAAACGAAGTGCGCCCGGAAATCGTTGCAGTGGTTGCGCGGCCGCGACACCGACATCACCGAGGAGCTGACAGCGGTCGAGAAATTGCACGTGGAGAGCGAGAGGAACGTGTCGCAGGGCGCCTTCATGGAGCTGTTCAAGAAGAACCATCTGAAGCCGTTCATGATCTCCCTGGGCCTGATGTTCTTCCAGCAATTCTCCGGAATCAACGCGGTCGTGTTCTACACGGTCCGAATCTTCGAGGTACTAAACCGCAGTCCAATTATCCAAGCGCGAAAATCGAGCGCGTAATAAATGGCTCGCCAGTGTGCCAAGTAAACGGTCAATTATCACCTAACGCTCGTTAGTTAAGCCTAATCACGATCGTTTGTCAACAGGACGCCGGTAGCAGCATCGCGAACCTGTCCGCGATCATAGTCGGGATCGTGAACTTCATCTCGGCGTTCGTCGCCGCAGCCGTGATCGACAGACTCGGTAGGAAGATCCTGCTCTACATCAGCGCGGTGTCGATGATCCTGACCTTGATCACGCTGGGAGGCTTCTTCTACGTGAAGGACGCGCTGCGCTCGGACGTGTCGACGATCGGCTGGCTGCCGTTGGCCAGCCTGATCGTCTACATGATCGGCTTCTCGCTCGGATTCGGCCCGATCCCCTGGCTGATGATGGGCGAGATCCTTCCGGTGAAGATCCGTGGATCCGCGGCCAGCGTGGTGACGGCGTTCAACTGGAGCTGCACGTTCGTCGTGACGAAAGCGTACCTGGAGATGGTCCGGCAGATGGGCGCTTACGGCACCTTCTGGCTGTTCGGCACGATCGTGTTGATCGGCTTCGTCTTCGTGATATTCTGCGTGCCGGAGACCCGCGGACGATCCCTCGAGGAGATCGAGAAGAGATTCACCGGCCCTGTCAGGCGAATGAGCGCCGTGGCCAACATGAAGCCGATGCCTATGGCCTTTTAACCTGTTCCTTTCTGTGGACTCGATAACTAGCCGATCACTGTGTTCGATGACCGGTCAGCAGGGTCGACGACGCGTCGCCTGGCCGAGGACCTCGAGCGTATCACATAGTTCCTTACATTATCGAGCGACAAGGAAGCGAGTCGGTTAGGCGAACCTTCTTGAAACGCTGCTGCTTCTCTTTCCGCGAGCCCCCCCCTCCTCCACCCGTTTCTCTCTACCTCTCTCTCTCGATCGTCGGGGATCGTGGACAGAATCTGGGGCCTTTAAAACGAAAGCGGGCCGCGTATCGCGGAACTCAGGCTCGCGGTTCCTTCGACACGGCTATCCCGGATAGCTGGATACAACGAAATGATATTAAAACGGAGCAACGACGGCGGGAGAGGAGGGGCGGGTCTCTTGTTCGGATGTCGGACGTCGCGCATAGTTGTTATATTTTTGTTATTCGATAGTTCTACAGGGTCTACCTCAAATTAGTAATTGCGCGGAAGGTATACGAGTAGGGTAACAAGATATGCGAGTTATTTAATGAACGCGCGCGGATGCGAGAAGATAATTGACGACGCTTCCCCCCAACCCCCGCGGCGCGATGTTCGCGCGTTGATACGGAGAAAACGTGTCTCCCCCGATGTCTTCGACGAACGGCGACGATATTAAACGTTGCCGAACGCGTGACTCGCGCCCGCGCCGTCGCGTCAGCCACACTGTACATACTTGTCGCCGTCAGCGGGTGCGTCAACGGACGATTGCGCCATCGGCGAACCAATTAGATCGTAAGGTATGCATAGTTAAGAAACAGAGATCAAAATAATACGCGTTTATTTTTCCAATGTCGTTACTGTTGCAACCGGCGCGGAAACGGGCGCAACCGTGACCGCCGAGGCGAGCGCGCCGCGACGCCATTCGCCCCCCAGACACGCGTCCACGCGGATTGTTGCCTCGGAAGTTGCCTTCGAGGATCGCGAAAAATCCGATCGACGTCGAATCTCGCGTGGTTGAGTTGCACGAGCCGATTTATCGCCGCCCCCCGCCCCCCTATCATCGTCTAGATCCATGGGTGAAAGCTACCCTCGATCCTCGTCGGGGTCAAAAACCTAGAGAAACGTCTCTAAAACTGTTGGACGACCACACGGCGACCCTCTGCGGTTCGCTAAATGTATTTTTAACTCGAACTTCGAGAGCTGTTTTCGCCGCTTGGACGTAGACAATAGATGATAATAGTATCGAATATTTTTATAGGAACTATACTTCTTGCACAAGGTCGTAGAAATTGACTTGGCAACTCGACCATCTTCCTCCGTAGTTAAAATTTATAGCATAGATTTATATTGTCCGCACAAGACAATGTCAATTCACGTTTACACGCGTTCTCTCAGCCGTGTCACCCAGCCGTGTCCCGGCCATCGTGGCACCCACCAGGTCGTTCGCAATCCTGACGCGAATCTCTTGCTTCGAATCTCACTGTGCTTCACGATGGGACGGATCAGCGACGCGAGACATTCCTATCGTACGGTTCAACGTACGATACCGTATAACCCACGTAACGCAGGTACCAGATACAGTGATGTCTCTCGAATTGACGCACAGATTGCGCAGAAAAATGGACGATTTAGGAGGAGAAGATACGATTATTCGAGCCTTGCGCGGTACATTTTTATTGTTACTTTTTTATCTTTAATTAAACAAAAGATAAACGCAGCTAGAACGTTGGACGTTCGAAACAAGCTCTTTAGCTTACCGATTGTTTCCGCTTCCATCAAGCACGAAGTTCGAACGCGTTAAGGGACGGTGATAGTCGCTAAGGGCTCTTGGTCGTCCTCGCCCCTTCAAACGTCTAGGATATAAAAATCTTAAAATATAATTAGCTTAACCCTTTGCGCTCGAGTGGTGACTCCGAGGCACCGCTAGAAAAATGTTTATGTCGCATGCCAAAATAATTCTTACATCGACAAAATTTAGATTTGAAAAATTGTTAAAAGTATAACTGTTGTATAAGTCGCAAGACTCGATTTCACACGTGTAAAATGTGCTCTGTCGTATAAAATGGAGACAGCGTAGGCCGGAAAAATTATTTTAGATTTACAGTTAAAGCGGCTTCGAGTGCGAAGGGTTAATATTTCTCAGCCGATTATCGAACAAGCGCTGATCGATCGTATTTGTCAAAGAAATCGCGGTGGCGCGATACGTTTTTATAGTTACGAATTGTCAACAACTATAAAAACGAGCTGCAAGGCTCGAATAATCGTAATCCTCTCTTCCTAAATTGTCCATTTTTCTGGACAATCTGAGCGTCGGTAAGGGAGACATTACTGTATCTCTTGGAAACCCCTTGTTTAGTCGAAGTTAACGCGGTGCCGAGCTATAGCTAGTTAGGGTACATTGTGCTGGAGCTCCGATAGAAGCTATCCTTTACCGCAGCCCTAACACAAAAGTGCCCTCGGGCTTGGACACGAATTGGTCTGGGAGCAATGTACCATAGAAAGAGAATAGTTTTTTGAAGCCAGCTGCCACCGGGGCAAAGATCGTGGCCGTGCCTTCGAGGATCCCGCTTGTACAGATCTCAGAAAAGTATCGCGGGACTCGCGAGTGAAAATGTTTCGAAGAGGATTGTAAACTTCTTAAGACTATGCCGTCCGGTGGAAAATGCAAAAACTATCCGTTGTATGCCGGTGGTACCACTTTGGTGCTATTTTAAAAAAACTGAAATAACATTTGAACTATATTTATTGGGTGTTAAAAGGCAGAAAACTAACTACATAGTAGTGTGTTTATTTAATCAAGAATTAAGTACGAAAATTCTTGGATGACATATCTTAATTTTAGGAATTTATACTACCGCCATCTTCGAAATTTTTGTTAAAATCTAAAATTTCCAAGCTATTATGCCGGCGTCAAACAAAAGTGCCATGCAAAAACTATCCGTTGTATGCCGGTGGTACCACTTTGGTGCCATTTTAAAAAACTGAAATAACATTTGAACTATATTTCTTGGATGTTAAAAGGCAGCAAACTAACTATATAGCATTGTGCTTATTTAACCAAGAATTAAGTACGAAAATTCTTGGACGACATATCTTAATTTTAGGAATTTATATTACCGCCATCTTCGAAATTTTTGTTAAAATCTAAAATTTCCAAGCTATTATGTCTTATGATTAAGAATCATATCTAAGATCTGCGAACGGCATAGCGTTAACATGTTCCATGCACGTGTGTATTATGTACGGGGTACGACGAACAATCGTTTCTGAAAATCCTAGTCTTCTGTGTCGAATAGTTTTTCAGGCAGTTGTTTGTGTACGGCACGTGTTTGCGCGTCGAGGTCGCGAGACAGATTGTTTCAGTAGCGTCTTCTTTGTTTAATAGCTCGCCGCCGACGTTACCTCCGACTATGCGACGACCCATTGTCAGATGCGCGCGTTATCCCCTTTGAACCGTAACGCGTTGTCGGACTTTATACTTTTATTAGTGTATTATACATATTTTCTGTGTTTACGTGACGTTCACTTGCGCCGTGCGCCTCCTCTGTCCGAGAACTATTACGGTGCTTGCCAAATCTTCTCAGACTCGAACAAGGAGAATTTGTTCGAAAGCGTAACCGGCGCGTTAAGTTTTTATGTAATTTATAAGTTATTCGAATAGAACGATTCTCACGAGAACCCGTTGTCCCCGTTCTCTTATCTCCTCGCTATTCTGCCACCCACCCCCACCCCCACCCCTTTGTACAGATACCCGAATGGAAAACATATTAAAGCCTGAATTTTACGATCGACGATTTACTTATTGTTTCAACGATCGGAGAGATTTCCGATTAATAATGTAAATTAGTCGTGACGACATTGTTTTGCTGGCGGGTCACGAAGTGTTAATTGGCAACACTCGGTGGTGCGAGTCCGTTTGGACCCGAACGATGAGACAGGGATCGCAGAAGAGCAGAAGAAGATTTTTCATCTTTAACCGTTGTAACATCGTTTCGAATTTAACCAATTGGGCCGTTTATTTTGAAAGTGGCATAAGTCACTTTGTTTTTAAGTCGATATATTTATGGGTTTATTATATATATATAATATATATATTAAAATTATATATATATTAAGGGGGGGGGGGGGTCGATATATATATATAAGGGTTTAAACACGTTTAAAAATATGGATGCTAACTTTCGAGAAGATTTACTTGTATTTGTTATCTCAGGATACTGATATTTTTCTCAGTATAAATAATTTCGTATAAACATTAAGAAATCATCACTTTTCATTACGGTAAAGTGAATTATACCACTTTTAAAATAAACGGCTCAATTGTTTCGCTCGAGACTGTAGCGTCGTAACTGTTGTCAATGTTTTCTTTTCGAAATCGGTTCGAACTGTACAAATTTTAAAACAACGCAGAATAAAATGGATAGCAAATCCAGCGAAGTCATAAAGTCATGAAACAGCATCGTAATTTCAAACTATTAACTTTATCGGAGTAATAAAATCATGAAGAAATACTTCATAATCTTCGAATATTAATTTAACATCCTAACGTTAAATGCGCGTTGTCATTAAATTAGTGTCATTTAATATCGATTGCTGAAATTGACAAGATCACATCGTAAGATATAAAACTTATTAAGCGACTAAAAAAGTCGCTATTAATAAAGCTGACCGTTTTTTTACGAACAAAATAGATTGGACTCGTAAAGTGTGCACAATTAGAGCGGCGGTGTGTATGGATTAAATGTAATCGATGCAGCGGAAAACGGATGTAACGCGACACAGACGCTTCAAGAAATTAATAATTTTGCTAATAAAGTATTCGGTTCAGTTATATCGTAAAGAAAAATGCAATGGATTTCGTTGACCCGGCAGCATTTACATGTATTTCAAAGATAATGAGAAACGCGCGCATCATCGTTCAGCGAAGCGCTCGTGCATTTGCGTATTCACGTGATGCGTTTCACAAGACCCAGTAGAATATCAAACAATCCTTTCCTTTATGTTCTTCTTTTTTTTTTTAGAGAGAGAATTGGAAAAAGGAACAATGCGTTCCACCTAACCTATGAAACTGTGCGGTATGGGTATACACACTTACCCATCACTTGAACGCGGCAAATCGCGCAGGTGTCGCACTCCACGTCCCAGCTCCACATGGCCACGGCGTTCCATTTCTTCAGGATAAACAGTTTGTCTGGCTTCACGTTCTCATTATCGCTACGATCACCAAAATCTTGCTCCGAGTCGGCCATCCCAATTTGTAGGTTAGAAACGACAGCGAAACACGAAGCTTTTCCTGCACGGACGAAATCCCGATCGTTATGGAATTGCTGTGCGCGCGTCTATTCAAACGATACCATCGTCCACGCAGATTTGAAATTTGCACGTTTTTTTTCGTCGGATCGCGAGCTACAAACTAGAGAGGCACAGTTGTATAATGTACGAGCCTGCGCTTCAAAAGTGTTAATTTTCGTCTGTACATGCCAATAAAATCGTGCGATAATGTGCCGGTGGATGTCAAGTTGGTGGCCGAAGGTAAGTCGCTACTAGTACAGACGATATTTGTAAACATAGACTTGAGATAAAGAATACGATGTAGCGGGTGTAGATATTGCAGGTTCGTGTAAATAATAGTTTCCTATTTTATCGACAATATTAGTTAAGAATATATTATATTGAATATATATTGATTTACTATATAAGAATATATATTGAATATATATTCAATTTAGGAACAATTTATGTATAGGAAGTTCAGTTTTTGTTATTCCTATCAACGAATTCTTTTGATCAAATTAACGCATCGAGAAAAACCTTTAAAGATGAAAGTCGAAAGTTTGACCACAGAGACTTCGTCTAATTATTTGCCAGTGATAATTATCAGTCGGTAATTTGGCAAACAGTTTGATCGTTTTGCATGGAATGGCGTTGTACGGAGACTTGTATATCGTAAATATGGCGGATTAGACTTGTTATGTTTGAATAATTTGTACTAATAATTAAGAACAAATTTTTAAACCATCCAGGCCACGAATTAAAACTGGAGAATCACACTTCATGACAGATTTCAGTTTGTAAAGAAATGTTCAGGGCACTTCGTGCACTTCCATTATAGCTGAAAGACCACAGTATGTATATATATAAATTTGTTAAAAATGTTATCATTTTTATGATTTCTTTAATGCAAATATTTATTTTTCATGTGTATAAATATTACTTCACGTGTCATAACCTATTCAATGTAAAGGCTGTATTTCCAAAAAACAGTTAAGCTCAATTTCGCTTCACATTATACAAGTAGCTACATTTTTCGCAAAAACGACGTTTCGAAGAAAAGGATTTTTAGTGATTCGAACGTTAAAACTCAAAATTTTCCAAAACATGCATTTAGAAGTCCAATCAGAAATTATTCTTACCGCTTTCACCATATTTACGGCACTGAAACTTCTATACAGCGCTGTTATGCGTAGTGGCAAAACGCACAATGTGTTCAACCTCGTCTGTGTCGCTGCGCGGTGGCAGCACTGTACCGATCGCGCCAAAAACCTGGGCGTGGACATTCTCATTTTTTCCTCGAAGGCATGGAAATTTAACCACAAGGCCATGCTTTTTGTAACGTGTATTTTCCGCGAATTTAACCTCTAACTGATAAAAGAAGTGTATTTTTGTGTACTTGGAATTATGACCGCGTACCACGATGAAGTAGAAATCGAGGACTTCGAGTACGACGAGGACGAGGAGATGTACTATTATCCGTGTCCTTGCGGCGATCAGTTTCAAATCTCGAAAGAAGAATTGGCAGCCGGGGAAGAGGAAGCAACATGTCCGTCCTGTTCTTTGATTATTAAAGTAATTTACGACAAAAAAGCGTTCGCAGCTAAGCTGGAAGAGCTTTCGAAGAATAAGAAGAAAGAAGCAGTGGCTCAGGAAGCTTAAGGTAAACCGATTTATTCATTAACATTCTGTAACGTTGACATAGCAATTTTAAACAATTATTTTTCTTTTATGAAAGAAACAACACAGGTCTGTAGGTCAGTCAATCCGAATGATTAGCTATTAGTTATCGTCTATTAACCAAGTAAACAACAATTTATTCTTTCAGGTTGAGCTATCTCGTCTGAAAAAACTCAATAAAACAAAAATGGCTAACCGAGGAAGAGGCAGGGGTAAGCCGACCATGTCCATCAGCGCGGACCAGTTAGGCTTTTCCAAAGGAGAAGCTCTGCCGCCGCCGGTTCTACAGCCTCCGCCGAAATATCCGACGCTGGAGCACAAAGCGTGGCCTCCTACCATTAACAAGGAGATGAGTTATCTTCTAGAACTGAAGAGAGAATTCGCTGAGTACATGAGGGAATCGCAGAACAATGTCGTACCACTGGTCGTTAAGAAAGACATCGAAAGGTATTCGGATAGATATCAGGACCTAATAACGGATAAAAGTAGTTACGAGATCAGATATGACTGGTCTAGAACGCCAATGGAATTGAAGCCCCAGCCGAAGAAGCGCAAGGGGCAGAGTGGTTCGTCCAAGCCTGAGAAGAAGCAGAAGAGCGTGGACATCGAGACAAAGTTGCAGGAGCTGGAGAAGAAGGAGACCTCGCAGCCCAGCGACGCGGAAGAGGAGGAGAAAGAGGACGAGGACGCCGAGGATAAGGACGACGAGCATGCCGAGGACGAGGAGGAAGAGCAGGACGAGGAGATGGACGAGGGAACGGACTACGTGAACAATTACTTCGACAACGGAGAGGGTTACGACGACGAAGACGATAACTTAGACGATGGACCTATTTATTAACATATAATTTTTTATAAGAATCAGAAATTCCTTTCGGTTCTCGATCACCGGACTAGGATACTTACAAGCTGCTAGTTGAGCACTGCACGGCAATGTGTATATACTCTTCCTACCTCACTCTCTCTCTCTCTCTCTCTCTTTCTCTGTTTTCCCTTGCCTCCTATCCCCCTTTCGCACTCCCTCGCTCTCACTCTTCCTCTATTTCTTACCAAGCTTTCATGTGTACGGACAATAAATTATATAACAACGATAAACAATGAGATCTTACGTAGTATCCGTCCCCGAGAAATGATCCATCGGTGAAACTGGCATCGAACGATGATGACGCGCGATCAATGAAGGATGAATTGAACGAAATTAAGAGCCCAGGGTCACAGGAAGCGTCGGCGTGTTCTTTATTACGAGTATTTCAGTTTCTAATATATAATATATATATATTTATATATATATAATATATATGTAATAGCCATAATAATCTGCAATTATTTGTAATAAATGATCCGTCCTCTACGATGCAATCGGAGAGTAAAAACGCAACATCTGGACGAGAAAGGGGATGCGCAAAAGTACCGTAGTGTCACGTAATGCTTACGTAATACGCTCGCCATGGTTGTGATGGTGGTGGTTCTCGAATGCGAATCCGTTGCTCCTCTTCTTCGTCTTCATCATCATCATCATTATCATCATAATCTTCTTCTTCTTCCTCCTCCTCTTCTGCTTCTTCTTTTCCATCTCGTCCTCGTAACGTCTCTTCGTCGTTTCGTGGCATCCATCGTTATCGAACGTAAGTTCGCGGCGTAAACTTGTAATGTCGGCGGTGCGTTGTCCCACGGAGTGTGCGCGAGGGATTGCTCGACAAAGAGAAAAGAAAAAGTTCGTCTCGCGGAAGAAGAAGTCGGTTCCCTGAAATTTCCAGCCGCCGGCTAGTCGTCCAACACCCTAACCGATTCCGTTTATCGTCGATCCCGATTCCGCGGAGCTCGGGCGGCGCGAATCGAGCGAGCGACTCATCTCGGGGGTGAAATATATATATATATAATATATTAATATTAATATATATAATGTATATAATATATATTATTAATATAATATAATATATATATTATATATATTATATTATATTATATTATATTATATTATATTAATATATTAATATTAATATATATAATATATATATATTTTTTTTCTCTCGATTTCTAGTTTCTTCGGTTTCGCTTTGGAGCTCGCCCGGGGTGGTCCGGCGCGTTCTCGACGAGACCGCGGTTATGGCAAACGGTACGAGCTCGATACTTTCTGGTTTCCGGGCTGGCTGATCGTCTCGACGACAACGGGAGGATCTATTCGTTCGATGCGCGCGACACGCGGCTCGGTAGATCGGTGATTCGTTTTACAGAAGCGTGTCGTGCAAACGCGAAGAAACCGAGCGCGTCGCGTTCTATCTAATAATCGAAACTGGGAAATTGATCTTTTGGAGAAGCGACGCGTGAATCGCGTGGCAGTGGAAATGTTAAGCATTTTGTATATCCGACCAGAATCGTTTGTGGAAGTTGAAGAGAAAGGAGGGGGGAAGGATATGAGCCGTTTATTTTGAAAGTGGCATAAGTCACTTTACCGTAATGAAAAGTGGTGATTTTTTAATGTTTATACGAAATTATTTGTACTGAGAAAAATATCAGTATCCTGAGATAACAAATACAAGTAAATCTTGCCGAAAGTTAGCATCCATATTTTTAAACGTGTTAAAACGCGGACCCTTAAATATATCGACTTAAAAACAAAGTGACTTATGCCACTTTCAAAATAAACGGCTCATATGATAAAATTTCATTTTTGTCGAGGTTCCGAGTACGCTACTCTCTCCCAATAATTCTATATACGAGGGGAATATAACGGTATCAAGTGCTTCGACCAATTCCTCTTGATAGTCTTGATGCTTGGAAAGCGAATCAAACGGACAACGTACAATCGTCGTCTTCTTCCACGCTATTTCTCTATAGATTCGAGTAACAGAATTATCTCATATTTTTACCTGAGCGTATTTTTACCATAAAGCATACCACGTGTTATAGCATCACGCCAGCACAATTACAATAATAAAAAAAAATGCGTATCACTTTCGGCATGTACCGAACGAACTACTAAGAGAGTTATGTTATACGTATATGCTATAATTAGGAAAGAGAGAGAGTGTGAAAAGGAGAGTACGAATTACAGTAAATTCTCCCTAATTGACGCTCAGCTTGTACGCAAAAGTGTACAATCTGGAGAGAGGAGATACGTTTGTAATTAAATTAAAATTAGATTAAAATAACCTTGCGGTGCGTTTTTATAGTTACCAACTTTTTATAGTCAACTATAAAAACGAGCCGCAATATAATAGAATATATAAATATATATTATATATTATATATTTATAATAGACTATTAATAGACTAATAATAGTCATTCATAAGGTCATTCATAATGATTATTCTCCTCTTCCGAAATTGTCCATTTTCGTGCAAAATCTGAGCATCGATTAGGGAGAATTTAACCGTGTTCGGAAGCAAACTATATAGGGAGAGAGTACCGTATCTTCGTGAGGTGTCGCAGTATCGTTGAACAGGCATCCCAGGGGGTTGTTTTCAACTTTATTTATTTTATAAATCCAGGACACTGAAATCGATTGATCGTTGGATAAAAGTGTACAGCGCCGCGTGGGAAACGTTACTTCGATTAAAGATACGATGATTGGCGACATAAAGCGTGGTTAAAGTTACGTCTGAGAAACCTACATTTCGTATGCATCGACCAGCTAATACGTAGATCCCGTGAATCCTAGCGACCACCCTCTCGATCCTCGCTCGCTCGATCCAATCGTCGGCGCAGCGTGCTCGCGAGACACGAGAGAGAATACGCCTGTTTCCGATCCCGAGGATTATTTGATTTCTCTACACCGACGAATTCTGCGAGCCTGCTCGAATCGCTGCGAAGAAGAAAACATTCTTTACGAGGCGATCATCCCTATCCGGCGTTTCGTTGTATCGAAGCTAACATCGCCGCACCCCCTCGTCGCTGGATCTCGAACCGCGATCGGTCCCCCGAAACGCAGCTTCTCTCCCATTCCCTTCGATCCCCGTATCCCGAAACGAGCCCCCGACTGTCCCCTCCCCTCCCCTCCCCAACCCTACCCGTCTCCCCGTATTCGTCCCTGTTCGTTAATTCTGTATTTTGTCGCCTCAAATTAACCGTCGTTGTTCGAACGTCAGTTTCACTCCGGCCGCCCATCGTTCCTCTTCAATAATATATTTTACGTATAATGTATATAGATATATTTGTGTATATATACTTTGTATATAATCGTCGCAATTTAATATAGCACGACCTATCTATGTATAAGTAGGCATTAAAGACTGAGGCGAGAATACAGGCGAAACCCCGAACATTATTTAGTCCCACTCGGTGTCGGTCACTTTTTTTCTTTCTTTTTTTTTATTCAGTTTTCGTCGCGAATACGAGAAACGATCCTCCCCCGACCGGATTGTCTCCACGAGATTGACGCTGCGCTCGCGCGCGACGCGAAACTACCGTAAGATTTTTAGCTCGCGGACGACGCGATTGCGGGAATTATTACAATTACGATAGTCGCTTCGTTTCTGCGCTTTCATTCGGCCTTTCTGGCACTGCAACAATTTTCACTCTTGTCCCCGTTGTCTTGGGCGCGACTCATCGATCAGGATTAACCAATGAGAGAATCAAGGAAGAAAACCGTCCATGTCTCGACAACCCTTTGCTCTCCAATATCGATGCATTTACGAAGCGACTATCGCGATTGCCAGGTCGCCAGGTCGCCTTTGATCGGATACATCGCCGCTAAGCCTTCGATTTGTCACCATGTACCGATTGCGGAACAATTACGATAGTCGCTTCGTTTCTGCGCTTTCATTCAGCCTTTCTGGCACTGCAACAATTTTCACTCTTGTCCCCGTTGTCTTGGGCGCGACTCATCGATCAGGATTAACCAATGAGAGAATCAAGGAAGAAAACCGTCCATGTCTCGACAACCCTTTGCTCTCCAATATCGATGCATTTACGAAGCGACTATCGCGATTGCCAGGTCGCCAGGTCGCCTTTGATCGGATACATCGCCGCTAAGCCTTCGATCTGTCACCGTGTACCGATGACGCCTGCAGGCGTACGATGTTATTCTCGACGGCTACGGCAACGCGACCGTCAAAGGGTTAGAGTCCGGGTCAGCGGAAGTCAGCTTTCCCTCGTTAGCGTGTCCGATCGATTCTAAGCTGGATTGGTATCGTTGATTCGGACAATCAGCACGCTGCTCTCGATAACGTCTCGACGTAACGGACGCCGACGAGGGAGAACCACGGGAGTTTTTCGGTGGACGCGCGAGCGCAGATCAACGATCGGTCGGTCGCGTCGTTCATCCGGATCGGTCCACGCTGTGGATCGTGCTCGCCGATCGAACACGATCGGCCGTGTTCGAGGCTCGTGGTTGATTAGAATCGAAACGAAAAAACGGTGCTGCGCTGGGAGAGAAAAATCGAAATTGTCGAGCGTGTTCTCGCGCGCACGGAAAGATCGTGCTCGGACGATCTAAGCTGGCCATCGACCATCCTGGATCGTCTTAGATCTTTCCGCAAGGGTTCGACGTTTCCTCGTGCTTCGCTCTCCGCCTTTTCTCGTGTCGTCGGATAGAAAATGCGCGCGCGCGCGCACGCGCCCACGCCCACGCACGCGTGCGTGCTCGGAGAACGTGGCCAGCACGTTCCCGCGGGTCTCTGCCGCTCTTCTATTATTTATTTATTTATTTTATTTACTTTTTTTCGTTTAGCATTTTTTTTCTGACTTTTCTTTTTCTCAGCTTAAGGCCCGTTGCTCTGGATGGTCTCGCGCAACTTCGCACCTCGGACTTGATCACCTCCAGTGATCCAAGGTGTGGACGAGAAAAAGGCTTGGAACACGAACAGGTGAGAGACAGCGGTTCAAGAAGGAAACGCTGGAAAAGTACGGTAAAATCGTGATCGAGCTGCTACCAGTCGGGGGGGAATACACGAACGCGGCTATTGATCCATTCTTCCAAGCCTTTCCTCTCTGCGTCTCCGGATTTCCGTCATCGGGGAACGCCTTTCGCGCGCGACACGCGATTTCGATGAAATGTTCCGCGCCGGGTTCCCTTTTTTTAATCCTTTGTCATTGGAATTCCTTCCGAAGGTCCTCAGAGGACTTTATCGAGACCTTGTTGGTAATCAACCCC